GCCTTGTCTAACTGTCTATGGCACAGCGCGAACGCCTGTTGCGCCCCCCTGCGCGGCAACAGCATGTAGCCACCTGCGCGCGCAGTGCGTGCTCGTAGTGTTGTTATTGAGCGCACAGAGGGCGAATGCTCGATCCCCACTCTGCGGCGTACCTCCAGGCAAAGGGCATTGAATGAAAATCGTTTCGCGCTCGCAAACACGCTTGAGCAACCGACGCCACTGTGGCGCACATGCTTCCTGCTGTTGAGCCTTCCACTATGCTGTAAACAGACAGCTGATGCACTCTCCCTGCCCCAGTGCGCAAGGCTCCCCCCCCGCCGCCCCTTCCCCAGTGGGTTCGTCAACATCAATCAACAATGATTTGTGCCAGGCTAGTAGGGTGGTCTTCACGCGCCAGCACAATGGTAATAGCTCGTCCATCTGCTGTTGCAGATCATATCTGCCTCCGTCGTTACGAATCCGAACAATGCCCAATCCTGCTTTCCCATCCTCCCTGGAAATACATCGTTTTTCCTCACGCGACCACCTCGTTCGCGTCCAGGCTCCCTCCGTGTCTGCCTAGATTGTCTCCGCTGTCCCATTCCATAGCATGTAAACACCTCCCTCCCAATTCGTAGTAGCACCGTGGAAACAATCGCCAGGTCCTCGTCGCCTTTCCCCTTGCTAGCTGCTCAAAACCTCAGATCCTCGATCTGATGGCTGACTCTTTCTGGGTCTTCAAGATGGACCTGGAGGTCCAAGATCATTCAGGTTCGCTCGACTGGGATCCCTCATCATCTTGGCCAAGCTCGTCGCATGACCGCTGCCTTGCACTAGCTCTGCATCCGCTGCATGTCCGAATGTGTTTTGACTCTCGTGTCTATCACCTGGGAACAACCCCTGATGCGCAAACATTGAAATCGTCTGCGAAGACTCACACTCAAACCCTCTGAGCTGCAAGTCCACCGCCCTGAAGGTCTTTAGTTAGCTCTTCGGTCGATGAAACTGCTTCGCGAGCACCGTCGCGTTGTGTAGACAGGTCGCCGAACTCCTGCTCTGTGACCCCCTTCCACCATGCCGCTCCTGATGCTGTCCCTCCTGTCCCTCAGCAGTATCATCGTATCTTCGCGCGGAAGAGCCGTTGCCTCGTCCGGCTCCCACATACCTTGTCCAGGGCACTTGTCGGGAGCACAGCGAGCCGTTCCATTCCGAAGGAACCCAGTTGAGTCTGGCGTGCCCTCCCCGAACTGTCTCTGCTTTTGTCCCCTGGCTCCTCCATCGCTTCTTCCACGCACGCAAAGAAGCGTAGTCGGACACCCCCTGTTCCCAAGACAATCCGTTCACATGTCTCTGCTCAACCCCGGTTTTCCTGCATGTGGTAGTCAAAAATGGATTTTGCCGTGATTGGTACATAGGTCCCAATACGAATTTTGGTCACTTGCGACTGTGGCTCTGATCTCTGACACGCTGCAGCCTTTTGGCCACCGTTCTCATTGCAACGCATATTTATACCAGTGTGGGCGCGCCACTAGGAAGAGCTGTTAACAATTGTGCTACTCTCCTCCTGGTGTACCATAGCAACCCAACCCCACGTCGTAGTGTGCCGTCGCAAACGGACGTAATGTGTCTTTCCGATCGTACGCCCCTCGCTTATGCAAATCACTATGTCGCTGTCTCGACGTGGCCCGAACTGCGGGTTGTTGCCCCCACCACTCTGGTAGTCCTGCTTCCCTGTCACACATATGTTCAAGCCATCACGTTCTCTTCGACGCGATTTCTGGTACGTCGTCGCATGTGCCGGTGAAGTGTACGTCGTCAAGAACCAGCCGTCTACCCTCTTGGATGACATCCTGACTCCTGCTGTGTCGCCTTGAACCATTAAAGCTGGTGCGAGTGTAGCTCGTGCAGGTTCTCTTTATGTGGATTAGCGAACAACACAGGTCCCCCCTTTCTGGATCCGAATTGTCACCCCCAATGGTGGGTAAATTGGATGGTTGTCGTCGCTTCTGACCATTGTACATGTGCGCCACATAAGTAGCACCACGCCCCACCCCTTGGATTCCTGACTGATGTCCTGCAGTCGGTTATTCGTCGATGCTGGCAGAGAGTTGTATGTCAGAATCTGCATAACACACAAAACATAATGATATCTGCCAGGCATGCCTCTTCTCCTCACTCGCTGGAGCTGGGAGAGGAGGCCGTAAGGTTGCTTAAGCGGAACTGTGTCGCTTTGGAACGGTGGTGTTGATCGTTCGGACCTCCTCGAGGCAACAAGGGAGAGGAGTAGGAGGGGGAGGAGGGGTAAGAGAAGGGAGAGGGTCTCCTCCCCATTTGCATTGTTTAACCGATCCCAATCCTCACTGGAATGGCCTTGGCCCCACTAGCCGATTAACCCCCCTAGATGGTGATACAGGCTGTTCCATTCAGGTTTTGAGCGGCCTAATTATCCCTCACTTGTGGGTGGGATGGTGGGGCTCAGATGCACTGGCTTGGTGGGGATGGGGATGGATTAAACGATGCTGACCCCCTTCCCCTCCTCCTCCCCATCCTCCTCCTCGTCCGCCTCCTCCTCCTCCTCCTCCTCCTTCTCCTCCTCCTCCTCCTCCTCCCCCTCTCCCCCTCCCCCTCCTCCTCCACGTGAGACGCTTTTCCGCTTGAGTCGTCGTCATCGCCCTCGTCGTCGCCGTCAGTCGCAAGGAGATTCAGGAACAAAGGGATCAAAGAGCGTCGTAGTTAAGTCGAAGTGAAGTCCTTCCTTTTGATTCCTTCCCTGCCGGGGGTGGTCCCCCGGGGAGTGTTGTTGGGGTGGTCCCGGGTCAGAATGCCATTCCCCCTGGGGGTACCAGGAGCCCTAACAGCACCAAGACAGGCCGAGCGTGTCCAAAGAAACCCCCAAGATGGTCCACGAGGGCGCCGAATCGCCGAACGATCGGTCGAAGCCGCCCGAGATAGCCTCTAGACAGCCTAAGAAGACTCCAAGACACCCCAAGAAGCCTCTAGGAGTACTCCCACGAGGGCCCCACGAGGCAAACTTCATTGACTCTATGTTGGTGTTTGCCAGATGTTTTTGGCGATCTGGCCTTTTCGGCTTCCCGACTCTCCAGGACGGCCCAGCAGGCACCCAAAACCGCCCCGAGCAGCCCAAGAAGACCCAAAGACGCCCCCCTGGGAGGCCCCAAGAGGCCCCCAAGAGGCTCATTAAAAGGCCCCGCATTAACTCATGCTCCAAAGCCGACCCCCAAAGGCTCCCAAGAGCGCTGCGAAGAGATCCCAAGAAGCACCCCTGAGGACTCTGACCCACGTCAGCGCCGTCGTCGTCGTTGCCGTCATTCTTCAGGGTCGGCGGCACAGGCTGTGAGGCCTTCGCAACAAATCCTCCCTGTCGCACTACAACACGTGTCTCTCGGGCGGGCTGGGCGTTTCTCTTGAGTCATCTGAGTCATCTTCACCGCTTATGACTCTTGTTCCCTCGTCACTGTGATGCCCACAACTAGTTATGGTAGTTGCGGGGAAGTTGTGGATATTAACTTGATATTCACATGATCATGAGAACTTGATCTTCCAGGTCTTAACTTGATATTCCAGATCTTAACTTGATCTGCCAGACCTTACATAACTTGAGCGGTGCAAGTTGTGGAAGGTACGGAGGTTAGTTCTTGAGTTTTTGCTTTCGAAGCGGTGTTTACAGCGTGTAAGTTACGGCGAAGTTAGCTTATGAAGTGGTTTTAGTTGTGAAAGTTGCGTTCTAGTCAGGTTTTGGCTTTTTCTTACTTTTCATGCTTGTTAAACACATGCGCTGCGAACATAGATTGACTACCTACCAGACCACCCCAACCCAACCCGAAGACCAGAATTTCGGGGTGGGGGGGGTATGGGTTCCATACGTGTTTTTGCGATGTTCACCGACCCCCCCAACTGGAACTGGAGGGCACATCGAGGCCTTCGGGTTGGGTTTGGGTGGTTTGGTAGGTGGTGATAGATGGTCTACACGTTTTTTTTTATTTTTTTAATATAAAAGGAAAGCGTTATGATTGCCCCCCCATAGCGTTGTATTCATGTGTTGTTTCTCGAGCGCTTCGCGCTGCACTCAGTCATGCGCTTCGCGCCCCCTTCGTCTCCTCCTCCTTATCCTCCTTCTCTTCCTTCGCCTTCTCCTCCTTCCAACGTACCAAGCTCCTCCCCCTCCGTCTCCCCCTTTTCCTCCTCCTCCTCCTCCTCATCCTGCTTCTCCTCCTCCTCGTCCTCCTGGAGCCTGGAGCGTGAAGGTCTGTATTTCCTCCAGGATGACGAGGAGGGGGAGGGGGAGGAGGAGGAGGAGGAGAAGGAGGAGGAGGAGGACGTGCTCTCCCTCGCCCCCTCCTCCTCCTCCTCCTCCTCCTCCTCCTCTCCTCCTCCTCCCCTCCTCCCCCTCCTCCCCTCCCCCTCTCCTCCTCCTCCTCCTCCTCCTCTTCCTCCTCCTACGCCCCCTCTCATTTCCCAATGCGCCTTTAAGGCTCCCAATTATCTTGCCAGTCCTCCTCCTCCTCCTGCTCCCTCCTCCTCCCACCTCCCTCCTCCTCCTCCTCCTCCTCCTCCTAGCCGTTCTGGCACAGGCGCACTGTGTGTGTCGGCATCTAACTTCAAAGCGGCACAAGGTGCCAACGGGCCAAGACTGGCACGATTCCCTCGGCGCGATGGCCCCGACCAAGCCTATGCCATGGGGGCCTGCCCCAGCGTGGGCCTCGTCATATGGGCACAGCTACGCGCCGCAGTGGCCACAGTGGGGCGCTCCTCCGTATCTTGGTGCACACCCTGGTGCTCCTGGCTACAATGATGGCATTGCCCCGTCAGGCCCATGTCCGTTGCCTGACTGCCGCTGCAACAAGAATGACGCCCGTGCCACAGCTTGCAAGCACTGCAAGCGGCAGGGAGGCCCCACCCCAGGGTCACAGCCTCCAGGTTCGTGGACAGGTGGTCAGCAGTCTCAGCAGCAACAGGGCGCACCTCCTCAGCATGCGGCACCAGGTGGACAACCTCTTCAGGTGGGACCACAGCCGCAGAAGTATGAAGATTATACGGCGGTTGAGCTCCAGCAGCTCATTGACATCGCTACGAAGCATAATGACATGGTCAATGTGGGCTTCTACAAGTCGGCCCTGGGGCGGCGCCAGGCCAAAGATCGTCCAGCCCCTCCGAAGCCCCTTCCAGCGACAGGCGGCTGATGCTCATCAGGCGCTCAAGATCACTGAACGTAGGCTCGAGAAGGTATTGGATGAGTTGGACTCGGACCGTGATTGGGTTGCGAAGAAGCATGCTGATGTGGTCAAGCTCCAGGCTGAGTTGGCTGAGAAAGACCGTATCCACGCTGATCTTATCGGACAACTACATTCTACCGCGTGCAAGCCTCAGCAACAATCCCCCAGCACGCCGACCCAGATCAACGTCCGCGACTTGCTCGTGGGTCGGCTATCGGAGATCAGCATTGTTGGTGGTGATGAGCTGCTGGGAGTACCGTCTGCAGAATATGACTTCAGTACAGAAGGCATCCATTTGTTGCAGTCCAAGCAGAAGGAGCTGCTCGCTGGCGCGCAGGCGCTCGCCAGCACGTTGTACTCTGACTTGGTCAAGACGCTCGGTGAGGCAAAGAAGGATTACCGTGAGAACTTGGCGCGGCTCTCTCACAAAAAACGTAAGGTCGAAGATGGTGTCGCACCAAGTGGTGGAGGCGGTGGTGCCGTTGCCGGACGTGCTTCAGCAGCTGACGGACGTGCCGTTGCTGCCGAAGGCGCAGGTGTTCCCGCTGCTGCCGCTGCGGCTTCGGAAGCTCCCCAAGATGCTGAAGCTGCAGCTTCACTTCGCGAGCGCGCCGCGCGTGCTGCGGCCCGGCCCCCTGATTTACAGGAAGCCCCCCCCTGGGCGATGGGCATGAGCTCAGGGGGGGCGGCCACGACTCTAATAAGTTTTTAGTGCAGCCGCAGCCAATCCAGAGACCAAATTTTAACAACATCCAGCCTGGCGAATCGAACATGTCGCAGTTTAGTGGTGTCCTCAGAGCCCCAACCCACCCAGGCCCCGAAGATTTTGAGTTACTTTTTGAGGCCATTAACTCCAGCAGTTGAACGTCGGCGAAACCCTGGCCTTAAAAACACCCGCCCATATAACTTTAGTACAGGAGCATCACTTAGCAAAAAAGGCTGCAATTGAAGAAGCTTCGTCCTGGTGTCGTCGCCACGGCTGGCTCGCTCGAATTACTCCTGCCCTGGTCACGCCCGAGGGGGGCACGTCTGGTGGTACGGCGATTTTGGTTCGAGATTGGCTAGGCTGCTGCGACGTCACTAAGGGGCCAGATTTCATTCCAGGCCGTGCTACTGTCTGCCGGGTACAAGTACCTGGAGGCATTACCATATTGCGTTGCTCGCTCTACCTCAAGGACTCCGAAGGACTCTCAGAACTCAACCTTTGTGTTTTCGCCAAAGTTGGTTCTTTGTGTAACTCCTGCTCCTCCCCCTGCCTCGTGGGGGGTGACTTTAACGTGCCCCCGTCTGAGCTCGCCGAGTGTGATTTCGCGGCTGGGCTCTCTGCTAACATTATATACCCCCCCCGGCTCTATCTCTTGCACCAGTACGGCTGCGGGAGGTGGGTCACCGCTTTACTATTTCGCGCGTAGCCCTGGGCTCGGTCAAGGGGTTGCTGGTACGTCGGTAGTGTTGACTGCGGACACTCGCCCGCATCGACCCGTCCGCGTTCGATTCCATCAATCGCTTGCTGACCTTCAGATTGTGACTTTCGTGCGAGCCCCCACCCATCCCTGCCCCCCTTCCCATCGTACCCTTCCCGAAACCCTCCAGTTGGCTTGATACTCGTGGCTGTGCCGAGCATGCACTTGCTCCGGTTCGTTCAGGTGCCCCAAGATCTTCCATCCAGCGTCATATCAATGTGCAATAAAAGTGTTGGGCCAATCAGTCTGAAGAGGAACTTGAGGCGGCGTGTCAGACCACACTTCCGATCCGAGGAACCCGCGGCAAGATTCCGAAACTCACGTGGAAGTCGGTGCTCGCCCAGGACCGCAGTCGGAAGCCCAGGCAGCCAGCGCTCTACGCGCTCCGCTGGCTCGAGGGTAGCGTTAGGATGCTCATCGTTTACACTGTTACGGACCGCTGGTGCCAGGCTCGGGATGTCTCCAAATTGTTCCCCCCCCTTAAGAACTTCAATGATTACTTAGTTTTGTTTCAGGACCTGGCCCAGCGTGTCAAGGATCACGTTCAGCCCACTGTTGAAGTTGCAGCCTTCACTGGCGATCACCTGTGGCAGGCTGCAGGCGCTGTCATTCTTGAAGCCTTGAGCGAGGCTCTCGGCATTTACTCAGCCACCGCCAGGGCTGATGTCGCTGCCAATTGGAAAATCAATGGCTGTGTGACGGCCTCGAGGGAAGGGGCAAGCGTGCTCATGATTGGACCCGCCCCCCCCACCGCGTGGACCCCCACTCGCACCGTCTCTCCTAAAGGCAAGGTTTTGGCCGACCCCAAGAGTTTGTGGCAGACCGAGTGTGCTCGTTTCTCTGGTGTTTGGAGGGCCCAGGACACCCCCTTCCCCCCCAGGCAGGGATTTGAACAGTATTTGGACCCCCTCCCGTGGATAGAACCTGACAGCATTCGCAAAGCCTCGAGGTCGTACAAGCTTTCTTCTGCTGTCGGCGTCGACGGCTTTTACGTGCGTCACTTTCAGGCCCTCAGTGACTCGGCTCTGCATGTTCTTATGACCCTTTGGTCCGTCATGGAGTGCGCCGGTTTGATTCCCAAGCAAGTTCGGGTCTTGAGTTCGGCGCTTTTAGAAAAACCGACTGGGGGTTGGAGGCCGATCGTTTTTTTTGCTGGCTAAAACAGGCTTCGGGGGGGGCTGCGGCGGCCCGTCCTCCAGGCCTGGGAGGCCGTACCTCGCCGCTTCGGCCTTCGCTGGAGCAGGTGATGTGGTTTGGCGGCAGGCCCTCCGCTCCGTGGCCGCCGCGTGCAATTCGCAGGTGTCTTGCAGCATGTTATGGGGCCTCTTCAAATTCTTTGAAACCATCTGCCTCGCGAAGCTCAAGGAACGCTGCAAGCACCTGGGCCCCCCGCCGCAGGTAGCCTCCGTCTGCCTCAACATGTACGCAGGACCGCGTTTTATCATGCTAGGTTCTATGGTCAAAGGACCTTTTGATGCACTTCGGGGCGTGATTGCTGGATGCTCTGCCGCAGCCAGCTTCGCGCGAGCTTATCTGATTCCCTCTCTCGACCTCTTGTCCCCCAGGGTCCAGAAAGGTCTTGACGTGTACATCGATGATTATGTTCACTCGGCCCAGGCTCGCCCGCACTCGATTGTCAACCTCGTTGTTGAGGCCGCCAGAGAGCTTCGCCACGTTATCACTGAGGATCTGGATTGCATCATCTCTCTTGAGAAGGCCATTCTTCTTTGCTCCTCCTCTTCTCACGGTGATCGCATCAAGAAGCCGTTGGGTCCCTTGGCTGGCACGCCGAAGGACACTGCAGTGAATTTGGGCGTTGATGAGACAGCGGGAATGGGGGGGAAGAGGCAGGAGGGGCAAAAAGTATGCTCAAAGGCGCCGTGTATTCAAACAGCGGCAAGCTAGGTTCCAGCGGTGCAAGCCCATGCTTGGACGACACACGTGCCGAATATTCACCACTGGCCCACTTGCAGGCTTGTTTAATGATGCTGACACGCATGGTATATCTGATTACGAGCTTGCCTGCGCCCGCAGAGCTTTAGGTTCCATTCTTAAGCCATCCTCGGGCCAGCGCTCCCTCACCTCGTTTCTCATATCATATAATGACCCCACATGGAGGGCCGCGGTGGCCCCATTGTTCGTTTTTTCGGAGGAGGTTTGGGGGTCCCAGTCGAGCCTGTCTCACCATGCGCTGTCCTTCAGGGTGTTGGGCGACGCTTGGAAAACTGTGTTTATTGATACCCCTTTCCCTACCTGGCGTCAGGTCCGAGGCCCTCTGCAGGCCATGCGATTGTCATTGTCCAGGATTGGGTGGCATATGCCATCGTGTCATACTCTCGTCAACGATCTCGGTGACGAGATCCCGATCACCACCTCGTCGCCAGCTCTCGTGGCCGATCTTCTGTTCGAGGGGGTTATCCGCTCGCGCCAGAGGGCGGTGGGCGACAAGTTGGGGGCGGGGAGGATGCGCTTCGATGTCGTGGCCTCAGAGTTGCGGCGTTCGGCACACACGCCGCGCGATCGCGGTGTTATCAGACTGCTCGCTTGCGACGGCACCTGGACTAAGAGCCGCGCCATCGAGCGCCGGTGCCAGCTTCAAGACAATCTGTGCCCGCTTTGCGGCGTTGTTTCTGATAGTCTACTGCGCCGGCTGTGGCAGTGCCCGCGTGTCTCTGATCAGCGCCAAGAGGCCGGTGACGCTGACATTATAAATGATGCCCTTCGTGTTATTGACGACGGCGGCGACCGTGGTAAGATTTTATTTTCCAAGGGCATGTTCCTTCATCCTGGGGATTGGTTGCCGAGGCCCGCTGAGGCTGGTAAGATCGCCCACGCCTTTGCTAGAGGTCCTGGGTCCGCTCCTGGAGCCGCTGGCGTTTCGGGCGATGCTTTTTTCGGGCGGTTCACCCCTTGAGCACGTCATCAAGGAGCTGTCAAGGGCGGGCTGGGGTTTTGTCTCTGTGGGCCACCAGGGTGATGTCATCGCTTCTGTCTCTGGGGCCGTGTCTGCGCCCTTTCCCCAGACCTCGCAGGCTGGGGAATACAGCGCCTATTCGGCAACCGCTCAGTGCCTGGAAGGGCCCACCGCGGGCTACGCGGATTGTGCATGGGGTCGCTCGGGCCCGCGTTGCCCCCGAGGCTATGCGTTTTTTCCTACAAGAAGAAATGCTCTGGCAGTGCTGTTGTCGCTACCTCTCGGTTCTGGAGAGCTGTGAGGAAGGTGAAGGCTCACGCTGTTGAGTCTGCCGACATGACCGCAGAAGAGAGGTTCTTTAAGCTGGGCAATGATGCAGCCGATAGAGCTGCCAAGCACGGCGCGTCCCTCCATCCGCAGGCCAGTGCGGGAGAGATGGCGCAGGTCGATCGAATTGTTGCCTCTGCTCGCGCGGTCTGTCGTGTAGCCGCCGCCGTTTTACCCAGCTGGCCGAAGCTTGATCTCAGTGAAATGACGCGTGCCATTCCCATGCCACCTCCTCCTTCGCTTGAGCCTCGCTTTGATCATCAATGGGAACGGTATCGCGGCGCATGGCGATGCATGTGCTGCCTCCGTTTCCGTCGCTGCCCCGAGCGACCTCCACTTGATGGCTGCCGCGGTGAACCACCGCCTGCTGTGCGTCTGATTTCGAATTTGGGCCACCGCATGCTCGCTTTGCAGTGCAATGACGAGTCGCCGCTTTTCGTCTGTGTCAAGTGTAACGCCTACACCTGTCTCGGGCGAGTGCTGCGACTGAGCCGTCCCTGCGATCCTAAGTGCACCGGCCGTGATGACATGGATCGCTGGCGGCTCATGAAGCGTGGCTTTCACCCTGAGCTCAACGGGGTTGCGGTCGAGCCTATGCCAGGTATGGGTCAGTGAATATCACCGTCATGCTTGCTCATCGCCCTGGCGTTTGTTACACATGGGGTGGGTGTTCGTTGCACCTGTGATGTCTTGCAGTAGAGTTTGGAGTCTGCGGCGTTTTCTTTGTTGTGCTGAATTTTCTGTCACTCGTGCATGCTGGGTCAGGCTCATCCGTTTGTAGCCTCATCCCCCTGCTGTGGAGCGGAAGAAGGCGGAGCCCTGTTCGCTCCGACCAGAGGCCGTGGGCCTAATCTGGAGGGCTCCGCCAAGGGGGCGCTGGCTCAACGGCTGAGTGCCAGGCCCACACCAGGGATGGAGCTTGCCATCGTCCTGGCCTTTGTTACACCAGGGGTAGTTTTGCCGAATCGCCCTGGCGTCGCCTTGAGACCTTGTGTACGCACGGGTGCGAGCGCTTCTGCACGGGTATCAGGCGCCCCAGTTGTGGGGGAAAATGCGCCGCACGTGTGTTACGACCTGTTCCTGGGCTTGGCACCGGGGTTTCTCTGCCCTGACCGTAGCTTTGCTCAGGCTCCCCGTCGCCATTCCTCCGAGGCGTGGCTGGGATCCTTGCTCATCGTCCTGGCGTTCGTTACACCAGGGATGAGTGTTGTCTCGGTCTTACTTCCGCGCATGCGTGCGTCTGTTGTCTGTGCGAGACCTGCACGTGTATCAGGCAACCCACAGTGGGGGAAGGTGCGCTGCACGTGTATCGGCGTGGATGCTAGTTACGCTGCCTGCCCGAACCCGAGCCTCGGGTTTCTTCCTGAAGTAGTGTGCCCTCTGCCCTGACCCCTAGTCTTCTCGGGCAGGTGGGCCCCTGTGCACGGCTGGGTGGCCCCTGCGGGCCCCTGGCGACCGTTGCGCGGGTGCTGCCCGTGGGAGCTATAGGCTCGGTCGGCGGGGGGTGCAGGTTGCGCTGCCTGCCCTGAACCCGAGCCTTGGGGTTCCCCCTGCCGCCGTTGCCGGTCTCCCCTGCCGAGTCGTCTGGGCGATACCTACCGAGGGTGATTATGCGTGTCGTTTGGATGCGCGCGCTTCTGCACGAGCGCCAGGCGCCCCAGGTGTGGGGCAAGGTGCGCCGCACGTGTGCAGCGATCAGTCCCTGGGTTTGGCACGGGAGTTGTTTCGGCCCTGACCGTTGCTTTGCCCCAGGTTCTTCGTTGGTTTCTCTTCTCTGGCGTTGGCTGGGATGCCTGCTCATCGTCCTGGCGTTTGCTACACCAGGGGTGAGCTTTGTGTCTCGGTCTGAGACGCCCGTCTGCATTTGAGCGAGCGTGTGCGCGCGCGTCCTGCACGTGTATCAGGCACCCCAGTTTGGGGGAAGGTGCGTTGCGCGTGTGTCGTCCTGCGCAGAGGGCATTGTCTGGGGGTTGGGTCTCCTTCTGCGGAGGTGCAGGTTACGCGGCCTGTCTTGAACCCGAGCCTTGGGGTTCCTCCAGTATTTGGTCGCCTTTGCCCTGGCCTTTCTGTCTTTTCTGCGGGCAAGGTGGGCCATTGTGCACGGCTGGGGTGGTCCTCGCGGGCCCCTGTTTGTCCGTTGCGCGGGTGCTGCCTGTGGGAGTGCTGGGCGCGGATGGCGGGGGGTGCAGGTTGCGCTGCCTGCCGTGGAACCCGAGCCTTGCCCCCCACTGCCGCCGTGGCCCTTCTCCCCCCCCCCCCCGCTCCCCCCTGTGCGCGGCTTGGTGGCCACGGGCTGCCTGGCGACCGATGCGCGGGGGTGCCTGCGGGGGGCGGCGGGCACTGGGGCAGCTGGGTACCAGCCGCTCCGACCGTTGCCCACTTCCCATCCACCTCCCCTCTCAGCGAGGTGGAGGTCGGCCACCCTGGTCGCAGCGCCGTCCAGGGTTGTTTTTTTGCGCCGAGGAGCGCCCCCTGAGGGTTGCGCCGCCCCTCAGTTGTATCGTGGCTGCATTGTTTTCCCTCAGGTCACCTGTAGGGCAGTGTGGACTGAACAAATCCTCCCCCTCCTCCTCCTCCCCCCCTCCTCCTCATCATCCTCCTCCCGGGAGGGGGGTGGAGGGGGCAGGGGGGAGGGGGAAGGGAGGGGGCCAGGATGATGGGGAGGACGAAGGGCAGGAGGAGCAGGAACAGGAGGAGGAGGTGGAGGAGTAGGAGGAGGAGGAGGAGGCGAAGGAGGAGGAGGAGGAGAAGGGGAGGAGGGAGGAGGAGGGAAAAGGCGGAGGAGGGATGCACAGGGAGGAGGAGGGAGGGGGATGAGGAGGAGGAGGGGAGGAGGAGGAGGAGGAGGAGGAGGAGGAGGAGGAGGGGGATCAGGAGGAGGAGGAGGAGGAGGAGGGGGGAGGAGGAGGGGGGAGAGGGGAGGAGGAGGAGGAGGGGGGGGGGGGAGGAGGGAGGAGGAGGGCGGGGGGACTGGGGAGTTGGAGGAGGAGGGGCATGAGCAGGAGGAGGAGGAGGGAGCAGGAGGGGGGAAGAGGAAGGGCGGCGGCGGCGCCAGCAGCGGCAGGAGGAGGAGGGGGGGGAGGAGGGGGAGCAGGGCAGGAGCGGGGGGGCAGGAGCAGGAGGAGTGAGAGGAGGAGGAGGAAGGGAGAGGGAGGGAGGGGAAGGGATCAGGAGGGAGGAGGGAGGGAGGGAGGAGGGAGGAGGGAGGGGGGAAGGAGGGAGGGGGGGAGCGAGGACCAGGTGGAGGAAAATGTTCGGATGAGCAGGAGGCGGAGGGGGGACAAGGGGAGCAGGAGCAGGAGAAGTGAGAGGAGGAGGAAGGGAGGTGGGGAGGGAGGGAGAGAGGGAAGGAGGGATGAGGGGGAGAGGATGGGGGAGGAGGGAGGAGGAGGAGGAGGAGGAGGAGGAGGAGGAGGAGGAGGAGGAGGAGGAGGAGGAGGGGAGGAGGAGGGGAGGAGGAGGAGGGGAGGAGGAGGAGGAGGGGGAGGAGGAGGAGGAGGAGGAGGAGGAGGAGGAGGAGGAGGAGGAGGAGGAGGAGGAGGAGGAGGAGGAGGAGGAGGAGGAGGGGGAGGGGGAGGGGCAGCTTCTCCTCCTCCTCCTCGTCATCCTGGAGGAAATACAGACCTTCACGCTCCAGGCTCCAGGAGGAGGAGGAGAAGCAGGATGAGGTGGCGGAGGAGAAGCAGGAGACGGAGGAGGAGGAGCGTGGCACGTTGGAAGGAGGAGAAGGCGAAGGAGGAGAAGGAGGAGAAGGAGGAGGAGACGAAGGGGGCGCGAATCGCATGATTGAGTTCAAACTGGAGCGCAATGAGCTAAACACTGGACAAACAAACAATAACAAAAAGGCATGGGGGGCAGACATAACGCAACACCAGAGAAAAACGTGGCTGACCAAAAAACTACAATCTGCATTCGCAGCGCGATTTTTGCAACATGTAAAAGTACAAGAATTAGAAGGTATTAAGATAGGTGTAAGATAGGGGATCGGGTGGTTTAAGATAGGGGGACGTTAATTTCCCCCCAGAAAACAAAACAGATGAACAACTATCTTCCATAACTTCAACCTAACTTCCACAACTTCCACAATTTCAACACAACTAGTTGTGGGCATCTCAGCAATGTTTGCACTGAAGGGGTCCTGGCAGAAGTTTGAAGATTTGGCAAACATTTCCCGCCGATTTCTGGTAGCAAACTGGGTTCCCGAGTTCCCGGTTCCGGGTTCCCGGGTTCCCGGTTATTGGTTCCGGGCCGATTTCGGTTGGTTCTGGGTTCCCGGGCTCCCGGGGTCCCGGTCGATCTGCTCAGCGAAAACCATCCACTGATTGGGTTTTTTTTCTGGTGTAATTTCTTACAAATTGCAGCAGTTTCACGGCTGGACGGCGGGTCGTTTTCAAATGTGGCTCTCGCCTGAACGCCGCGCACATTCGTTTTAAAATGAGCAGGAACTTCACGGAAGGAGGGTGGGTCGGTTTTCAAAATGTGGCTCTCGCCTTAGCGCCGCGCGCGAGCTTGCAACAGTTCCAATGCTTTTGATGGCCGACGTCCCAGAATCTGCGGTTTGGCTGGATGTAGGACTGGCAGGGCGCAGCAGTCACGTTGCTTCGCGGTGTTGAAGTCCCAGGAGTGGTGTTCTGGCACGATTCAGGGTCGTCAGGACGCAACAGTCACGTCGAGTCGCGGCGTTGAAGTGCCCAGAATGGTGTTCAGGCGCGGCTCCGTATTTTCAATCGGCTGGCTTCCAATGGGGTGCTTCCCACAGTGACGGGCGAAACCGAATCCTTGCAGGGACCTGTGAAGATGGAACTTGGATAGAAAACGCAGAAACGCAGAAACATGTATAGACCTAAACTTTTGGCGTTCCGCGCGGATGTATTAGATCTGCGCTTGACCCCGCTCCCTGGCGCGCGGAGCACGCCAGGGGCGGCGCCAGAGGCGCCGCGGGCGTTGGCCATGCGCCGATCCAAGAAATCCGCGCGGAGCGCCAACAATTTCTGTTTATATATTTTTTTCCTCTTCGATTGCAGGGACCCGTGAAGAGGGAACTTGTAGGGAGAGTTTATTGGCGGCGTGCACAGGGGGGTAGGGGGAAGGGGGAAAGGCTTCTTAGAAGGAGCCTGCTTCTTAGAAGGCGCCGTTCTTACATCTACAGACAAGGCCCGCGCCTTTTTAAGAAGCAGGGGTGCTTCTGAGAAGCCTTCCCTCCTCCCCATACCGCCTTCTGCGGGTGGCTGAGTTTATTGCAGCATCGTTGTCCTCCTCCTCCGCACTCTTCGCTGCTAAGCCCAGGGGGCGCCAGGTCGTGTGGCCGCGGCGCCCTCGGCCTACGGGGCGCCGGCGCCGGCAGCGTTTCCGCCGGCAGCCCGGGGTAGTTCAGCTCGTCCGCCGCGATGCGCAGCGCGCTGTTCGCGGCCACGGCGCCGCGCTGGACCTGCCCGGAGGGGAGGCCCGTGGCCCGCCGCCCTCCTCGCTGCCAAGCTCTGCCCCCGACCCCGGAGGGTCGAGGGGGCAAGTTCTCACTGACGTGTTCGGCCGTTGTCGAGCCTCCCAAGGCCCCCGAAGACCTCCAGGGGGTAAGGAGGCTCTGCGAGGTGAGAGCACGACTCGCCACTCCTCGTCCTCCTTCTGGCCCTCGCTCTTCTCCCTCCCTCTTGCTCCTTCTGCTCCTCTTTCCCGCCGCCCCGCTGTTGCTATGGGCGGGTGCGCCTGGACGGCCTGGACGCGTCTCTCATTCTCTTCACCCCATCCTCCCTTCTCTGAATCTCCTCCTCCTCCTCATTTTCTTTCCATTCGCATCCCTTCTCCTAGACATCCCCACTCCCTCCTCTCCCCGCCCTCCTGCCCCTCCTCCCTCCATCCCTAAAAAGACCCCGGGGGCACCCGAATGGGCCCCCACCCCCGTCACCATAGGGGACTCCTGGGCGTTGGGGTTCTGATCCCAGGTCCCTGGCCACCAACGCCACCTACCAGACAGAGTTCTTGAAGAACTGGTCCCATGGATTTCCGCATCTAAGTTTGAGTTCCGATAATTCATTGAATGATCAAGAAAACATGCAAAGGAAAGGGAGGGGCGAGGAAAAAGACGGAAGCGAAGAGCAAGGCGCGGCAGCAAATGCGGTCTGGCAGGAGCTCCTCCCCTTGCAAGTTCTCTGCTTCCTCCTCCAGCTACCGTCACCCCTCCTCCCTGCCGCGCCCTCGCGCCCCCCATCCCTCGTTCCCCCTCGCTCCCCCGCACCCACAAGGACCTCTAAAAGCCCTCCCCACTCGGCGCCCCAACTGCTGCGAGCCAACCTGGTTGGCGATCTCGGTCGGGTCGACGGCCGCCCTGGCCGAGGCCTCACCCTCCCCCTCCCCTCGCCCTCCTCCTTCTCCTACTCCTGCTCCTCCTTATAGATTAGTTCTCCCTGTCGCACCCCGAGGCCAGTCTTGAAGGCGGGCCGTGCGCTTCGCCGGAGACTTCCTCACCATGTACGATCCTGAGGCATAATAATTGGCAACCGCTTCACAGATGGAGGGCGGGTGGTCTTTAGAATGTGGCTCTCGCCATAACGCCGTTACATTCGTTTGCAATCTTTGCAAGGGCTTCACGGATTGAGGGCGACCCGTTTTCAAAATGTGGCTCTCGCCTTAGCGCCGCGTACATTCGCTTTAACAAATTGCAAGAGTTTCGCGGATTGAGGGCGGTTCCTTTTCACAATGTGGCTCTCGCCTTAGCGCCGCGCGCATTCATTTTTAACTTTGCAAGAGTTCCACATATTCCCGTGGTCTGCGTTCCAGGAATGATGTTCTGGAAGAATTCAGGGCGATGGGGGTGCAACAATTACAATGGTTCGCGATGTTGAAGTCCCCGGAATGGCGTTCTGGCACAATTCAGGATCGTCAAAACGCAGCAGTCAAGTTGATCCGTTGCGTTGGGATCCCGAGAACAATGTCTTGGCACGCTTCAAGGTCTTCAAGCTCCAACGAGGCAATTTCCTGTGGAAATGAGCCTCTGTAGGGGCCTACATGAAGAGGGAACTTGGAAGGACGGCTTATTCCAACACCATTGATGACTCTTTGGTTTACACTGGTCCTCCTCCTCCATCTGCTTCTCCTCCTCCTCCTCATCATCATTAGCGGTAGCATGTAGGCTGAGAGACACCAGTCCCCTGACGAGGCGTCCAGGTCAGACACCCGGCCGGAGTGGCACCTCGACAATGTCCTGGCGGACGAAGCGAAAATGCAGGAGGATGGGGAGAGGCGGTGGGGGGGCGGTCGACGATGGGACTTTGGCCGCCAACGTGGAGCTCGCCTGGATGGGCATGGCGTTGAGGAAGCATCTTGCCACAATCCTTATGGCGACCACGGAGCCGGAGCCGAAACTCATGTAGTCGACGCGTTCGGCTTCAAAGAAACTCGCCACGGGGAACTGCACACGTCCGAGAGCGGCATATCGGGAAACATCGGGACAGCACTTCAATGTCGTTCTTGCGGATGCAGCGCCGCCAGCCGACGGCTTGAATCCAGCGGGAGGTGACCGCGCAGGGCGTCGGAGCAAGCCGAAAACATCTATGGGTCTTCTTCGGCGGGCTGCTGTTGCACGCGTGCCTCCAGTGTGACTGCTTGGCCTCTTTTTCTGCTCTTCCCAATTCCCCTTCCCCTCGTGTCCCTCCTCCGCTCCGCTCCGCTCCGCTCTCCTCCTCCGCCTCCTCCTCCTGCGGATCCCTCCTGCTTTTCATGTTCCCCCTAATTGTCCTGTTCCTACTATTCCTCCTCCTCCCCCTCCGCTTCCCCCTCCTCCATCCTCCTCTTCCTCCTCGTCCTCCTCCTCTTCCTCCTCCTCCTCCTCCTCCTCCTCCCCCTCCTCCTCCTCCTCCTCCCTCATTATCTCCCCTCCTTTTCGTGTTCCCCACACCCTCTCAGTCATAATTGACTGAGGTGAAGGCCAACAGCACGACCATTCACCACAGCCGCAGTATTGCAGCTGCGCATGAGCAATTCTGGCGCTTAAAGTGTGCACTGGTGAGGTCTCACAATGGTGATGGAGGCGGCAAGTTCACCGAACTCGTGGAGACCTGCCGCACACCTGCTACAGGCAACGGAGTATGAGTGCTACGACGACTGCGTGGACTACTGCCCAAAGTGGGCCAGTAGCAACGTCATACGTTGGAGAAATACCCAAAGCCCCAGCAATTAGGCGACATGCAGGGCGCCGCCGAGGGTCTTTCTCCGAAAGGAGAGAACGACCGAGAGAAACAGAGAGAAAGAGAGGGGGGAGAGAGAGAGAGAGAGAGAGCGAGACAGAGAGAGAGAGAGAGAAACAACAAAGAAAAAGAAAACGAGAAAGAGAGAAGGAAAGAAAGAAAGAGAGAGAGAGAGAGAGAACAACAGAGAGAGAGAGAGAGAGAACACACACATAAAACATACAAGCGTTGTCATTAACTTTCCGCACAAGCTGGCCATGTGCCTCTTTGGATGGACCCCGTGGCCAGCGCCTTCCTCCTGGGGGCGCCAGGCGCCAGCTGGGCGGCTGGCCGTGCAAAGACAGTTCGGCCCGCTGCAACCAGGACGTGTGCCATTTGGCTTACTGCAGGAACCCGCCCTCCCTCCCCTCTGCCCGGTTCGCCAGGCAGGCGGGTCGGGTCGGGCAGGGTAATCTTCCCCTCCTCATCTTCCTCTTCCTCTTCCTCTTCCTCTTCCTTCTCCTCCTCCTCCTCGTTCTCTCTCTCTCTCTCTCACAATCTCTCTCTCTCTCTCTCTCTCCTCTCTCCTCCTCCTCGCACGTGGCCGCGCGCCGCAGTCCTGTCTATCGGCCCGAACCCGCGCCTGCGCAAGCTAGCTGTGCCCTCGTGAGGGGTACCGAAGAGTTTGCGGCCGAAATGGACAGAGGATGGGGCGGATGAAAAAGCGCACGGGGATTCAAGAACAACAGGTGGGCATACGCAGGAACGGACAGAGAGGCACTGGTGGGACGAAGTATACCGAGGCGGCAGATGGGATAGGAATGGGCGTCGCTAGTAAGAGCTTGCTGCAACAGGGCAAGGAAAGGAGGGCACTCCCAGTAGTGTTGAGAAGAATCCGGGGCTGGACAGCCTAACATCCACGTTGATCGACGATGATCGTGGAACCTCATCGAGGTGATCCAACTACAAGAGAGGTTCTTCCACGCACCATTGGCGAGAGGACCGCACATTCTCTGGACGAGCAGGCGGACCTCTTCCTAATCCACAAAGTCCAGGACCCAAGCAAACTAGGGAAACCACGGAGCAAGACGGCAGACTAAGGTAACCCCAAGACCATCAAGGAAGAGCTCACGCTGGAAAACTCGGACAAGATGCGCTTGCAACTTCGTTCGCTTAGGGGGTCGAGGAAGCTCGGTGGCCGCGGCGAGAAGCCCTGGCGACGTCCAGAACGATCGATCCAGCTCGGGCACGAGAGATCGATGATGGGAAACCGGCAACGGCCTGTCCTAGATACTCAGCAAAAGCTAGGCTGATCCAGAAGGTGGGGGAGGAACGGCCAGCGCAGAGACTCGCGACCGACAGATGTTCGGCCGCGAACTCCCTGAGGTCATCTAGACCGGCGGCATGTTCAGGAAACGTGTGGGTGGCGGCCCGCATCAAACAAGCCGCGCTCACCGCTTGCATGTTGGTAATTCGGGGTTCACCCCATTGTCCGATGTTGAACCAACCAGCACTAGAAATATCACAATGAGGAACGTTAAAGAGAGACGCGAAGGTCGAGTGCTCAACACGGGCAGTGGGGGCAGGAAGGGTGGGGGAGGCGTCGGGGAGAGGGGGGAATTGGGCGACGTAGGACAGCGTCGACAAAGCACGGCTAGTGTAGATCTGCTCGGTGATGGTGGACGGCGAGCCTATTTTTGAAATCGTAGCACTACGGGAGGCCCATGTAATCAGCGGTTTGTCCCAGCTTTCTGCGCTGACAGCTGGCCCAAGCATTAGGCCGAGATAGTTAAGCGAGGCGACGATCGGGGAACATCCCCAGTTGGGGAGCTGCTTCCGAAGCCACATCCGAGATTTGGCGACGAGGGACGGGGGGAACTCCCCCGCCAGAGGGACCAACAAGCATTTGGCGCGCTTCAACTTGAGACAGGCAAGGGCCTCACTGCAATCATACACGGCCTTCAAATGTAGTTCACGAATCGATGAGACCACCGCCCCGATGTCGTCTGCACACGCTCTCGCCAAGCTCAAGCACCGCTGCTCAATGACGGCCTGCGCTCGGCACTGTACTGCAGGTTGCGGCGCGTCAGCACGTTGCTCAAGACGGCGATGCAGATTGACCAGGAAGGGATGACTGCCTATGCCGAATGGAACTCCAGAGCCAGGGCAGCCTCTTGGATGATGCCACCAAGGATGTCGAAGACGTGCTCGCATACACGACCATCTGTGGCGAAGCACCGAACGTTCGAGTACAAATGCTCCACGAAGACCAGCAGCGGCGCGGGAACCCTGAACGCGGCGAGAGCCACGATGATCCACGCGTGAACCACTGATGGGAAGGCCTGGCCATACTCGAAGGAGGGTAGCGCTGGGAGTCGAAAGGCTGCATCAAGTAACATAGTCACCATCCGGCTGCGGGCATCCAGTTCTAAAATATCGAAACCAAAGTTACGACCTTGAACAAGCCCGCGCTGAGAGAAACAAACACAACATTTGAGAAGCTTGCTAATACCTTCAAAAACCGTGCTAACAATGATCTTGTTGGGGACTCCTTGGGGCCTAGCGGGCGGGTCGGGGGTCCTGGTATTCATGTTTGCCTCCTCCTCCTCCTCCTCGCCTCTGGAAATACATGTACCACGTACGCTGCTGTATGACGGGAGCATAGGTGTCCCACTCAATTGCCACCGTAATGCAGCGTCCAATATCGAGAGAGCCTGAGGGTGCCTCTTCCAAGCCCTGTAACGGAGACCATCGAGCCAAGGGGCACTATCTTCAACACGTTCGAGACGACGCTCTAGGAGACGACGGGAAAGAGGAGGGACATCAGAAAGATCAACACCGTCAGGGTAGCGACGCAGATAGTCCTGTGCAGCAGATAGATTGATCTCTTTCTTCTCAAAGACTGGCCTCCAATGGCCAGCCAAAAATAATAAAGCGGCGAAAGGCGCCGTGACAACTGCACCCCTCGCGGATGTCTTGATACCCTGCAGGGGCATCTTCCTATCGAGTGGTGTCCAGAGACGGTTTCGGCGAATCGTGGCTTTCAACTGACGGCGAACTGTGGTTCGGGTCATGTCATCTGTCGCATTCGATATCGTCTTACGGAGGTTGGCTTCCTTCTGAATCGCTATCATCTCGTGAATCGAATTCGAGCGCATCTGGAGCTCAATCGGATCTGTCAGCTCCACTGTCCCAGCCAGTGGGCCAATCTGCTAGAAGAGCCTGCCCAGCTCATGCGAACGTCTAATTGTCTCTGCATACTTGAGGTCTTGCCTCCAGATCGCTCGGCCGATAGCTCTGGTAATCATTAATTGTGTAAGTGGAGCCCCAGGGGAGCCGATAATCATACTGCCTCGAGCGGTCTTGGTAGCCTCGCGCATCTTCTCAGCGAGGGGAGGGGTGAACGAGCTCAGGTCACAACTGGCGTCGATAGCTTCCAAAAACTCACACTAAGCCGGGTGAACACAAACCTCTGGTGGAATAGGGCGCTCAGATATAGGAATCAGACCCCCAGGAGAAATCGTGACCTGAACAGGCGCATGATCAGCTATTCCTCTCTTGTTGAGAAGCTCAGGTGGCTCATCGGCTTACCCCATCCATTGGTGACCCCCCTCGCTTACAACATTGGGGTTCCTGCTATTCTGCCTTGGAAAGGTAGGGCGGTGGAGGGCCCAGCCTCCCAAGCGGGGCCCGCGCAACGGCACAGTGCCTCTACCCTGCCCACGAGAGGGGCGCTGCGGTGGATGGCCTCGCTGCTAATGGCGGGCCCCCCCTCGCGACCGCTTCAAGAGGAACTGGAGGACAGGCTCCAAGACCTGCCCTTCTCAGCGCATCGGCGCCCTGCGCTGTCGCGCGGGCGCGAGGGGCGCGGCGTCCGAGTCGACTACGCTGCCCAGTGCTTCTTGATCCTCGATCCCCGTCCCTCCTCCCCGTCCTCCATCCTCCCCTCCCCCCCCCTCCCTCCCTCTGCCGAGCGGACCGAGTTAGCGAGCTCGGTAGAATTCACGACCGCCCTGCGCGAGGCTCTCATCACATTGTCGACGCCCTCTTGCGGGGGGTGGGGGTGGGTGGGGGGGGGCGGTCGCACATGCAAGCGTGGAAATGCTCCCTCCTGGGGGGCGGGGGGAAAGAGGATGGAGGAGTGGCAGGGAAAATTTAGGAGCGGAGGGAGGAAGCAAAATCGGGAGGGCGGGAGCGGAACAGGGAAGATATTATGAAGATGGAGGAAGGAACTGAATATTTTTACGCTCGGCACCCTGACTCTGATATCCGCTGGCCCCCCTCGTGGGACTATCAGGTTGCGCGGCTGACAGCGGCTTAGGTGTTCTGCCCCCTGTGCCAGTTCCAATTTTCAGTCCCAATGTTATCATACTACTGCATGCTTCATTTTGTAAGTTGTTACTGTCCGCGTGAGGGGGGGGACCGAAAACCACCCTGGCCACCACGCCAGAATCGCGCTGCCTGAATTCCTGGTGGGTCTGGGCCATGTTTGAATACATGAGTTTCGCGCTCCCGAGGCCAAACACCCTTGTACATTACACCAGATTCGCGCTCCCGGAACCATACTTCTTTGTAAACTAAGCCGGATTCGCGCTCTCGAGGCGCCAGCTTCGCGCTTCCAGGGCCAGAATTCTCGTCTCATTGCACCAGGTTCGATTCCCCGAAGCCAGAATCCCTGGTTCGAGCTCTCGAGGCTAGAGCCCCTGGCAAAAGTTACATTCGCAAGGGCAACGCTCCACAAATACAACGAAGCGTTCAATACAAACCCCACCATCTCACTGCGCTTTGCTGATTCATATCCGCCCCCGTAAAATGTTCCCAAATGTCTTCAAGTCGGCACCCAAGCGCCCCGACACGGCTCTGCTATCTTCCATTATGATAGAGGGGGAGCCGGCGGCAGCGGGCGAAGCCCTTACGGATGTATATAGATATACACATGTGTATATACATATGTACAGATAGGAATATAAAATATCTTGATATAGAAAGAGGCAGAGCAATGTAATCACAGAGATGTGCAGGCCAAGGGGGCTTGACACACGCCAAGTTCTGCAAGCGTGCTGGGAGATCGTCATCTTGCAGCTTCTGTGAACATTCGCAGTGCTATGTGCACTGGTTGCGTAAGGGTGACTTGTTGGGTTTCCGCTGTACCCAATGTTCGACGTATGTTAATGTAGACTGTGTTTTCTCAACTCCGGATCCTTGTTGGAAGCATCGGCATCAACTGTGCAGGCTCAGATCTGTCTCCATGATTTCATGCGTACGCCTTCATACCTGCGCGCCTACATACGTACCCAACAGCCCGCCCACCGTCCTGCCTGCGCGAAATCATACCCAAAAGGGGCTCCCACCTCTAGGATGTCGCGGGCGTCGAGGTCGTAAACCTGCTTCCAGTCCTCGCTCGTGTCTGGCTCCTCGAGCGGGTTGATTAGCCCGCGGATCCCGCCACCGGCAGCTTTCTTGGCAAACTCAGCGAGGGCCAGAGGGCCCTTGCAGCCGACGACGCACTCCTTCTTGCCTCTGAAGCCCTCCTCTTGGCGGGCCCGAAATGGGGACCAACAAAGACGGGTAAGATGCCCAACAGCAGCTGCTGCCCGAAACTGCCAGCGACTGATGCTGCTGTGCAGACGGCGCCGCCAGTGAACCTGCAAAGTACCCCTGCGAAGCCGACAACAGAATGAGCTCCGAACGATCGGGAGGTGCTGGCAGTCAGTCGACCCCCCTTTGGCCCGCTCGGGGATCCTGGAAGCAAAACACTTGGCCACCTCTTCGGGACGCACCTTCTGCTTCCGCGGGATTCCGCCAGGCTCTGCTGGCGGAGCCGCCCTCGTGTCACTCCCGCCGCCCCCCGCCGAGGAAGAGACGCCCGACTCCTCGAAGCCAATGCCCCCTTCTGCCGGGGAGACGTAAGACTCGGGTACGGAGGACTCGGGTTGGCCTGACGGGGCCATCATGAAAATGACGAGACCCAATCTGGAATTTGACGGGACCTCCCGCTGCAGACATCCCACAAAAACCGGAACGCGCTCGTCATAAAAGCGTCGGCAAACCCGAGTCCCGGCGCATTCGAGTCTCACGTCTTCCCGACTCCAGAGCAGATCCTTTCGACCGCTGCGATCCTTGTCCTTCGGGTCACACCCCTGGGGGGCCGGCACCTGCAGCTCGACCTGCCCGTCGCAAGGCTTGCACTTGCCGCTGGCAGACCAGACCGTGGTGCCGCTGGCACACTTGCAGCACTTTGGGCCTGGCGCAGCTCAAGGCGTTCCTTCTCCTCCTGCTCCTGCTCCAGCTCCTCCAGAAAAAGGTACACTGCACAAACAGAAACTTCCGGAGCTTCCCACGGATTTCCTCGATTGATCTGTGCAGGGCTACCGGGGCCACGACGGCACCTCCTGCGCCGCGCCTGGCGCGCCTCCGCGCGCACGAGATCCGCGCGGAGCTCCGACAGTTTATGTTTATGCGTACGTTTTTGTTCCTCTTCGTTCGTCCTCGTCTTATTCCTGCGTCTGCTGCCTCTGCGGCTGCTGCTCCTCCAGCGGCTGATCCCCCTCTTGCCGATCCTCGCCCACCCGTTTCTGCTGCTCCTGCTGCTGCTCTACCTCCTCGTGGTCCTCCTGCTCTCTCCTCTATCGCCTCTAGTCCCTTCCCTCAATCATATCCTCTTCCTCCTCCCCCTTCCTCCGCCCACAGCGCTTGGGGCCTGGGGCCTCACTGAGATCAGGCAACCGCCCGAAGCCCTTGCCACTGGCGAACTGTCCCTCAGGGTTGTGGTTGCCGTTGTCTCGAAGGTACCTGCGTAAACATCACATCCCTTTTCTTTCTCTCCCTCTCCATCTTCTCTTACCCGTCCTCCCCCACCTCATCCTTATCCTCCCTCCGCCAACCCCATCCCCTCGTCCTCCCCCTCCTCCTTCTCTATGGGGAGAGGGTTGCTCCCTCCCAGCCCTTTTTCCCTCCTGCACTTCCAACAAGACATCGCGTTGGCGAATGCCCTACTCCCCCCTCTCTCCTCCCCTCCACGAGCACATCCTAACCCGCTGCCAGCTCGAGTGTTAGCGTGGGAAAATGGGAACATGGACAATACGAAACATGGAAATTCACAGCAACGGCTGTCTTGGAAGCAAGCATACGTGCTACCGATATCATTGCTCGGTCAGATCTGCTGGAGAGGGACTGAGGCCAGCGCACTCTTGCCACATGGACCTGCACCGACATTCATATGAGCTTGCGCACTCTGCCCGCTGCTTGCACTTCCTGTTCGTTCAAACAATGATGGCACTCTCACTGGCACTCAAATGCATTGGGAATGAGGCTGAGGAAAGGCAGAGCGAGGATGGGGGGCGGGGCAAGGCGAGTTCTCCTGCAGCCCACGTCCAAGACCATTCCAGGGCCGCCAGGGCCAACCAACCGAGGTCAAACACCCCACTCCTCCCTTCCTCCTCCGCCTCGTTCTCCCTTCCTCGCCCATCTGCTCTTTTGGGACGGGTGGGGCGCCTGAGCACCCCCTCCGCCTCGGCGGCCCGAGCGTTGGTGACCTGCACGATCCTCCTGAGCTTGGGGGCCTGGAGGTTGGCGAGGCTCATGAAGCCGTCCGCTGTCTTCAGCTGCACGAGGGCCTCCACGAAGGGGACGGCTCATGCAGGGAGGTGTTCCCAAGTTCTGGGCGAGTGGGCACCTACAACCACGGGGAGATGATCCCAAGCTGTGTATTTCTGGGCGTCGGGGTGCAGATGAAGAGGGAGGAAGAGAAGAAGGATGGGGGCAAGGCACCCGCCGAGAGAGAGAGAGAAGAAATGGGGGTGGGGGAGGGCGAAAAGAGGGGAAAGGGGAAAGGGGCGGGGGAGGTTGAAGAAAGGATTGCGGATGAAGAAAGGAGGATGGGGGGCGGGAGGGATGGCGGAGCAGGGACGTGGGAGGATGACAAAAGGACAAGGGAGGTGGGATGAGGTAGGTGAAACGGATCGGCGGCTCACATGGGGAGCCCTGAGGGATGGGGCCCTGAAGATAGGAAATGGATGCCAAGACCCTGCACTGCTCGATGTCACTCATCCTCAAGGCCGCATCTCTCAGGCCCCATCTTTGAACCGTTGAGGAGAGACGCAGAAAGAGGAGAAGGCATGACGAAACGGAGACAACGGCGAGATGAATGATAGGAAGTCGCATGATGGCGCAGGGCGAAGGACGAGAGAACCAGGAGGACGCAGAGGAACACGACGACGGAGGCGGCGAAAGAGGATGGAGGATGAAGAGGAATATGGATGAGGAGGCGGAGGATGCGGATGAACGGGAACGACGAGGAGGAGAAACATGAGGACCAGGAGACGGGAGGTCTTCAGCCGAACCAAAGCCTCCATGGACATCCTGCCAACCCCGCTGGTGTCGTATCCAGCCGACCTGGCATAACGATCCTGCCTCGGGAAGCCGAGATTCGCAGTGATGTCCGCCGGCGGGGGGGGATGAGCCGCTGGCCCAACGTGAATGTCCTCGGGGCGAGAGAGGAGCCATGACGGGGGACGATGAGGACGATGAGGAGGAGAAGGAGGAGGAGCGGAAGAGGGACGAACGAGGCGGGGAGGAAGATGAGGGGATGGAGATGATGAGCTGGAGGATGCGAAGGGATTAACAGGAGGAGGCACAGGGGCGACGAGGAGATGGAGAAGCGAGGATGAGGAGGAGCAACGACCGGCAGGAGGATGAGGCCGTCGCCCCGACATCGGATGTCCTCGGGGCGCGTCGAGAAATGCAGCGGCGCCCCCGGGAACGCGCGGTGGTAGCTCCCGAACAGCTCTGGGGCCTCGCCCGGCGGGGTTCCCAGACGCCCCCCCATGGCGCTCGCTCCGGTGACCCTTCGGGAGGCTCGCCCTGCAACGCGGGCCGCCCATGCCGTGCCGCCGCCGCCCGAGCCAGAGCGGCTTCGGCTCGGGAAGGAGGAGGAGGAGGCGGATGAGGGGGGGCTGCGCCATCGTTGGTGCCGACGCCTGTCTGTGACAGGCTTGGTAAGCGGATAAGGGTGGGGGGACGAGGAAACATAGGCGGAGGAATCATATTGCCATTGTACTGTTGTCCGCCACAGTGCCTCGAGGCACGCAGTGGAGTGTTCCCAGGCTTCTGGAGTTTCTTTAAGCTGCGTTCAAACCTAATCAAGGGCAGGGGGCCAAAATTCCCAAATCTCCTTGGCGGCCCCGCGCACTCCCGCGTAGAGTCCTGGGGGACCCTTATGACGGACCAACAGGGCCCCAAGAGGCCCTCAAGACGGTCCCAGATGGCCCCGAGTCGCCACAACATCGTTTCAAGACGCCCAGGATGTCCCTCAGACGACCCAAGATCCCCCGAAGACGCCCGAGGAGAGCTCCCCCAAAACGACCCAAGAGGCCCCCAAGATGGCCCAATAGGGCCCCAAGAGGGGCCCAAAAGGGGCCCCAGAAGGGAAGCAAGGATTCAAATTTCGAGCCCTTCGCCCCAAGATGGTTCCCGAGACCTGGCACGGAGGCGAGATGGGCTGAAAGCCACTGGATCCGCCGCCCCCTGTTGTCTTGCCACAAGTGTGCCTGGCGTGCTAGATGTTTTGGGGATTGGGGTTGGTTCCTAACAGCGAAGACTGATAGGTTTCTAGTGGGCTCAAAAGAGAGCATCTTGACTCCACAAGGGGGTCTGGGCGGATGCCAGGGAGAATCCGGGGACTCCCCGGGACTCCCCAAGCGGGTCTGGGCGGGTGCCGGGGAGGATCCGGGGACTCCCGAGAACACCATTCCCAAGCCACATGTTGAATGCCCGGAGCCAAATGGAGGCCACTTCGTGTTCTTCGTCTTCCCAGAATACCATTCCTGCACCATATTCTGATTGCCAGGAGCCAACCATAGGCCACTTCGTGTTCTTCGTCCTCCCAGAACACCACTCCCAGGCCACATTCTGAATGCCCAGAGCCAACTGTAGGCCACATCGTGTTCTTCGTCTTCCCAGAACACCATTCCCAGGCCACATTTTGAATGCCCGGAGCCAACTGTAGGCCACTTCGTGTTCTTCGTGTTCCCAGAACACCATTCCTGTACCATATTCTGACTGCCCGGAGCCAACTGTGGGCCACTTCGTGATCTTCGTGTTCCCAGGCCACAAGTCATGTGCCCTAATTAGAATGCCCGAGCTGAGGCAGGCTGAGGCCAAGGCAGGCTGAGGCCGAGGCAGGCTGAGGCTGAGGCTGAGGCACGCCGAGGCAGGCTGAGGCTGAGGCTGAGGCAGGCTGAGGCTGAGGCAGGCTGAGGCTGAGGCTGACGCAGGCTGAGGCCGAGGCAGGCTGAGGCTGAGGCTGAGGCAGGCTGAGGCTGAGGCAGGCTGAGACTGAGGCTGAGGCAGGCTGAGGCTGAGGCTGAGGCTGAGGCTGAGGCTGAGGCTGACGCTGAGGCTGAGGCAGGCTGAGGCTGAGGCTGAGGCCTAGGCAGGCTGAGGCTGAGGCTGAGGCAAGCCGAGGCAGGCTGAAGCTGAGGCTGAAACTAAGGCAGGCTGAGGCATCCGTAGCAATCCATAGGAATCCTTAGGAATCCATAGGAATCCGTAGGCATCCTTAGGAATCCGTAGGCATAGTTAGGCATCCTCAGGAATCCTTAGCAATCCTTAGGATTCCCTAGGAATCCCTGGGAATCCCTGGGAATCAGGATTCCTAAGGATTCCTCAGGTTTCCTAAGGATTCCTATGGATTCCTAAGGATGCCCAAGGATGCCTTAGGAATCCCTAGGAATCCTTAGGATTCCATTGGATCCTAAGGCCGTTGCCACTGCGGCTGTCACTGCGAATGCGACTGCGACTGCGAGAACAGCAGAACTCTACAACTGGATTCTCACCTGAATATTAAGGGGAATGCTTCCAGATATGCTTATACACATCGCTGTTAGGTTGCTTTGCCGGGATAATCTTTAATCTCCCCCTGTGGTTTCGGCCGATGCCGCCTGCCACCCGGAAAGCTGCGTTCGAGGTGGCGGCAAAGACTTCTTTCTCACGGCTTCTATGGCAAGTTTGCCTCCGCTGGGCCGGCCATCGGTCCCAGCAAGGGCGAGCGCGCGCGGGCACGGGGCCCCGCGTGGTTCGTGGCCCTGCGGGCCGTCTACGGCCCAGGGCCGCCTGGGCTTGCCCTCGGGCGCGGCCGGGGCCTTGCCCCCGGGCCCGACCGTCTCTCGTTCGAAGCGTGGGTGGAGGCGCCTAAGACCATTGACAGTCTCGACCCTGTCTCTCTCAAGCTTTCCAGCGCCGCCCCTGCGCCGCCGACGCCTCGCCATTCGATTTTTGTTTCGCCTCCGAAGGGCGACGTGACTGGCGTCTCCCGGGCACATGGGGCCACCGCCAGGGCGCCTCGCCGCAACCAAGGGCCGTTATTATTTTGCTCCCTCCCGCCGCGCAAGGTCGATGAGATCGCCCCCCGTCGACGCAGGGGTCGCGCAAGGTTGCCCCCTCAGCGACAGCTCGCGGGTTTTCGGCGTGGATCCTGCAATCCGCCGCCTAGAGCGCGCGCCCCCCCGACGAGTCCGCGCGAAGCTTCCCTGGGCGGCTGCGCCGACGACGCGGGCGCACCCATGGCGAAGCTCACGCGCCTCGCCCGCCTCCCCCCATCGTTTGCCTCTGCCTCGAGCCTCGCCACTCTCCACCCCCGCCCCCGCGATGTCGTTCCCGTGCCGCTTCGGACAGAACGCGCAGAAGATGCAATCGCAGACATTCGCGCCGCCCTGCGCCAAATGCCCTTGCAATGGCGGAGCTTTGCCACGGGGGGGCGAAGCGCCTTGGCGCGCGCGCTGGCCCGGCGGCCACAAATGCCCACCAGCGGGAGGCCTGCTCGCGAAACTTGTGGGGCTCAATCCGGATGACTTGCCTCTGGCGCTCCTCTCGACCCCTCCCCCCGTCTATCCGAATTCACGATTCCCCCCGCCCTGGGCCACGTCGCCCAGGCTTGCCCGCCGCCGAAGTTGCTCCTGCACAAGGAGCATCGGTGTATTAACAAGCTGCTCGAGTTGTCTCCTGATTCGCTCACGGGTCACGACCTCTGGTCCCGCCTAGATTGGGCGCCTGGCTCTGCCCAACCTCCATTGCGGCGCGCGCGGCGGCGACGAGCTGGCGAACGGCGCAGAACACTGCCCCCCAGCGTGCCCCATGGTGCGCGAAACTCGAAGATAACTCATAGCGCTAGAACTCACTTCGTGCGCCGTGAACAGGACCCCTGGTCTCCGCCATGTTGGCGCGACCCGCGGGCCGTCGTCAAATTTCTGCGCGACCGCGCACGCTCTCTCGCACTTCCAGAGGCCGGCCCTGCTCTTTAGCGGATTGCTGCTGCCGGGGCCCTGTAGGCAACCATGCTGGCCGCGGGGCTTCAGAATCGGCCGCGGCTCAAGGGGGTGCGCGCTCGTTTTCTGATCCGTGACTTGTACCCAGACAGTCATCACCTCACGCTGCAGAAGCGACTGCGCTCCTGGTATCCAAAGTTCCTGGCCCCACTCCTCGCCCCCCGCTGACAGGCTTTGAAGGGTGCCCTGGCGAAGAGTCGCCCCGCCGTCTTTTGATCGGCAATGAAGATGCTCGCGGGAGGCTGGATCTCCACCCGCAAGACGCACGTCCTTCGCCAGCGGGGATGCGTCTTTGGATGCGACGGTGGACCTGATGCGAACGCTCACTACCTCTCCTGCCCCCGCCTGCTCCACCTCGACCCCCTATCTCGCTCCGTCCTCCCCGCCTCTGCGATCGTCCAACTCGACCCTGGTGACGAGAATGACTACACGGAGTAGATCCCCTGGGAGTGAGCGTTCTGGCTTTTGGCCTTCGCTCTCGAACTTAACAAGCTTCGTGCGCTCACTCCTGGCGCGCCAATTTCATATCCGGGACGCGCCGCCTCAGCAGCTGCGCGTTCTCTCGGGGCGTAAAACAAGAGCGTAGCGCCGCCAAGTTACGTGCGAGCATCAGCTTGATCATCACCATTTTCATCAGTATCACCATCATATCCACCAGCATCACCGTCATCATCGTCATCGTCATCTTCATACGCCTCCTAGCCCGCATCACCCACCAGTCCCCGTCCGCCGCATCTCCAGTCGTTGTAGATCTTTCTATCAGTGTACAATTTCTCTTGCTCTTTCCGTTAATTTGTTTACGCGGGTGATGAATTGCTTTTTTGTGTCCGCCGTTTCGTTACTTTCCCTCCCACATTTCGCGCTTCCCCATCGTATTCGTCATTTGGTGTTCTCCGTTTCTCCTCCGCCACTTCCGCAATCGCCGCTAAAAAAACTATGTGATCAACCGTGCCCCTTTTAAAACATTCGAGTGACAACACAAGGAGACGACTTGTTTGAATGTGCAGTTGGAAGACGCGCGAAGGCTTGGGCATGCTTCTAGCCCCCCATTTACCGCAAAGTACGACGGCGAATCACCGACGCCCCCTGCCTTTAAGGATACGCCTATGTGGCCAAACGTCTGGGCAACGTTTGGCCCAGCTATTGGACCATGCGTTCCCCCAGCCCCTGTGGAAGCCCTTCGGGAAACATTCGGCGAGGAAGGGGAGGAAGGGGAGGATGATGAGACGGAGGAACAAAGAGAAGGAGGAGATCTCTTGGGAGCTCCTTGGGTCAGTCATGGGGCCTCTTGGGAGCGTCCGGGGGGCCTTTTGGAAGCCTCTTGGGCGCCTCCTTGGGCCTCTTGGGGGCGTTTGGGCGCTTTTTACGGGCTTCGTTGGCAATCTTACGGCGCTCCTGGCCTGTCTGACGCCGTCCGAAGCCGTTGAACGAGCTTCTATGGGCCGTCTCGGGTGTCTTTATGGGGCGTTTAAGAGCCGTTTGGGAAGCCATCTGCGGCCGTCTTGGAGGTCTCTTGGGCCGTATTGCGGAAGGCCGACAATGAGCAAATGCCCAGTTCCGTCAACAACCCCAAAAAGCACAGTTCTTGGAGGCCTCAGGGTGGCCCTCAAGTCGCTGCGGGTGTATCGTAGGCAGTCTTGGAGACATGTTGCTGCCATCTTGGGGCTATCTTGGCCCAACTTGGCCGTCGCGAAGGCCAGCTCGGCCGTCTTGGAGGCCAACTTGGTGGCCATGTGGGACCGCCTTGGAACCCCCTTTGGGCCGTCTTGGGATTTTCTTGGGCCGTCTTGGGGCCAGCTTGGAGGCCTCCTGGGCGCTCTTGGGGCCATCTTGACGGCCGTCTTGGCTTATCAGAAGGCCAGACAGGAGCAAACCCCAAACTCCTCCGAACATCCCAGGAAGGGCAATGATGTTGTCTTCTTCAGGCCTTCCTGGATGTCCCCTTGGAGACCTCTTGAGCCGTTTTGGAGGCCTCTTGCTGACTTCGACAGCGTCTTCACGTACACGAGCGCTGGCCCCAAACACTTGTTTCTCCGTCAGCGGCGAGGCGGCGAATTGGCCGGCGAGCAAAGAGGGGGGGGGGACGGCCGAGAGGAAGAAGGGACGCTCAGACGCCGAAGAGTTCGACGATGAGCAGTTGGGGGGGCAGCAGCAGCCAGGCGCGCAAGGCCAGAGCGCGGGGAGCGGCAGCCAGCGGCTGGGGTTGGCGGGGGGCACAGTGGGACACCGCGAACGACATACCACAACTGGCTCCAAGCACAAGCGAACGCAAATCGCTTACATCCTGATGAATCAGCGGGTTCTGCATTTGATGACGGACGCATTCGCCACGACGTGCCCCGACGTCGGCTCCGACCACCAAAGCCGTGCACCTCCGACTAGCACTAGACAGCGCGACGCCCCGAGCACGACGACAAACGACGACAAGCTCGCACGCACCAAGGACCTCCCCGACCGAATGACACCGACGTCCAACACCTTTTGAAGACACGCCTCACAAGCAACAGCCCGTCAAGTCAAGTGGTCCACGAGACACCGCTGCGCATGTCGAACAAGCACGAGTAGCAGCTCAGAGAGACTACCAAACGCAGCAGCAACAACAGCAACAACAAAATCAACAACAACACCATCAAGCACACACGCACGCACAGTTAGCAACGACGCGGCACAGCAACAACTGCACACACTTATTGCGCAGCGCAGGAGCACACCGCATTCCGAAACAGCCACTCGAACAACTCTCAACAAAAGTACTCTACGTGCACACCGTGGCATCAACAGGGCTCAGCGGCAAGCGATCCTACACGACATCATCCTTAGCTTCCGCGGCCTGAACCGGATCTTTGGGACCAGTTCTAGCAAGAAGGAGGACCTTGTACCAGCCATGACATCAGCAAAGGGGTCCAATGAGACTGACCGACAGGGGATAGCAAGCGTCGTCGCGGGCTTCCACGCGGAATTGTACCGACCCCCGGAAAGGACGACTTCGCCTACGCCCAGCACCTCCCCGGACGCCCGGGAATAAGCAGCAAGGCGATTTCGACAGAGCATCCCACCTTTACCTAGTAAGAGTTGCGCCCAACCGTGAAGCACCTCATAAACGGCAAGTGCAAAGACACGGCTGGACTCACCACGGAGATGCTGCAAGCAGGGGGGGGGAACGCTCGAGAAGCATTTGCTGATGCTCTTCAACGAGACTGTAGCACCTGAGCAGGCACCGCTGGAACAGTGGTGGCACCGCCATCAGCGTCATCTACAAGTCCAGAGACCCGAAACTACCAAGCAACTACATAATAATTGCCACCATTCTATACAAACGCATGCCACGACTACTCTGCAACCGAGTTGACACAATCTTCGACGCACAACAATCACCTGGCCAAGTTGATTTCCTCAAGGGTCCAAGCACGGAGGACCACCTCTTAATTGTGACTTTATTTGTGAGCAGTCCTACGAAAAGCAGCTCCCGCTCTGGACAGCGACCATCGACTTCAAAAAGGCTTTCGGTTGCGTCGACCATGTGTTTTTGTTGGAAACTTTGTGGGAACAAGATGCCGGAACCGTACATCAATGTGCTACACAAGTTCTACAGCGATCAGAGAGCCACGGTTAAGACCGACGTCGGAAGCAGACAAGTCGACATCGAGCGCGGCGTCAAGCAAGAGGGCCCACTCAGCTTCTATGCATTCAGCGCGCGACTCAAACACATATTCCGGCTCATGATCCACAAATTTTGATACGAGAAGGCTTCGGCTTACAGATGGGAAGTACCTAAAAGACGCGCCTGTCTAACATGAAATTTGTTGACGACGAGTTCCTCCTAGCACCCTGTCATCTACGCCAGCTCAAGTGTATCTTGTGAGACCTCAGTCACGAAGCTGCGAAGTGAGGACTTGAGTTGCGCCCCGACAGAACGAATATCCTCACACATATTAGCAATCGACAGCGCACCGCGCAAGCGGACATCGGCGACGTCCGGGTCGAAATTTTCAGCGCCGAGGAGAGCGCCATGTACTTGGGTCGCAAGCTGACGTTGTGCAATTTCCACCACGCCGAGCTTGCCAACAGACTTGCAACGGGGTGGCGCAAATTGAACCAGTTCCGCGACGAGCTCCCAAACAGCCGGTACCCCAATCGCAGTCGACTCAGGTTTTTTAGCGGACGGTGACGCCGACGTGCACAACGGCGCATGTCACGACTCATGGTCCATACTTCGTGGGGCCAACAGAGACCGCATCAAAGCAGCACCACCGAAACACACAACCAACCCTGACACCGGACCGCATGACGACAGCTCAAGCGATGACAACAAGTCCGACGGCATCTGAATGTTGGTCGACGACGTCGGCGACGAATCCGACGTCGAATTCGGGACAAGTTCATTCGAAGGGCAACTCACGCCGTTTCAGACCATGCAGCACGCGCGCACGCGGAGGAATGGGTTACAACATATCACAAGCGCAAGTGGAGATGGGCGGGGCGAATTGCCGCACAACCGCACCACAGTTGGGCTCGACTGACAGCGGCATGGGATACTGACGCCCACGACCCCTGAGCAGCACAACGCCGGCACGGCGGACAGCGAAAACGGCAGAGTGACGACGTCACGGAGTTATTACAGAAGACCGCTGGCAGAGTACACGGCGCTGGGCTACGTATTGCTACAAATTCTTGTTATCTGGGAAGACCTCGAGAGCGATTTCCTTAAATTTCACACGCCTGTGACGGGGTCTGCGTCTGCGTCTGCGTCCGCGGGCTTCTTGGGCCGTCGTGGGCCATGTTGAAGCCATCTTGCGCTATTTTGGGTGCGTCTTGAGCCGTCTGGGAGACATGTTGGGGCCATCCTGGGATCTCTTGAGACCATCTTGGCCGTCTTGGAGGCCATCTGTGGCGTCTCGGAGGCCTTCTGGGCTGTCTTTAGGCCTCTTGGGGCTGTCTTGGGTGCCTTTTGGGCCGCACTGGGGCCATGTTGGAGGCTTCTCGGGCGCTCTTGGGGCCATCTCGAATCTTGATGGCCCCTTGGGCCGTCGGAAGCGCGGCAGAGGCGATTCGCTCGCGCGTGGAACAAGTCCGGGCTGCGGAGTTGCGAATTGTCCAGCATGCAAGAAGGGAAAAGGGGCAGAAGAGGGCGGCCGCGGAAGGGGAGGGGGGAGGGGAGGCACTCTCACGCGGCGGCGCCGCGGGGAGCGCGCGGGGCGGCCAGGCTGCGGGGCAGCCCGTGGCAGCGGCGCGGGGCGGCGTCGTGGGCGCGCCCAGGGGCGGGGCCAGCAGCCGCAGCGCGGGCAAGGCCCAGCAAGCGGGGGGGCGGGAGCAGCGGGCGGCAGGCGGACCAGGGCGCCCGGCTGGGAGGCGCAGGGAGGCGGCAATTGAGGCGCGCAGCGGGTTTTCTTTGTAGGCCAGCGCGGTGCAGCAGGCGCTTGGGCAGTCGCCAGGAGGCAAGCCAGCAGGGCCGTGCGGGGCGGGCGGCAAAACGGCTGAGCGCCGCAAGGCAGCCGGGCGGGCAGGCTGGGCAGGGGCGAGGTGGCGGATGGGGGGGGCGGAGAAACAAACGCCATCCCAGGGCTGGTACACGCATCACAGGCAGGGACACGGCGGCGCCCAGTGCACGTGGAACGTAGTCGCGGGCTTCAAACCGCACCCGAAGGGAGGCAAAATCGGGGGAGAACCGCAACGGCGGTGCCCCCCACAAGGACCAGCAAAAACTGCCAGCATGGGCGGCGGCCAGCCTGCAGAGCCTGGGGGCGGGTGGGCAGAACGCTCCACGCGTCCGAGGTGGGCCCCAGGGCGCCGGCGCGCAACGGCGACCGGTGGCGGGCAAGGCGGGCAGTGCACCACAGAGGGGTGGCGTCAGCGCTGGGGGAAGGCGGCCCGCAGCCAATGTGAACACGGCGAAGGGCAGAGGCCCCCAAACGCGCGGGTCGCGACATTTGGGTGGGCTGCCGCGCCGACGCGCACGGGAAGGGGGAACCGTCTGCAAACCAGACAGGCATTGGCCAGCCGGCGGCGGGCAGGCAGGGTCGGCTTCTTGGGCCGCCTGCGACGCAAGCTCAGGAAGCTAATTTGCAACAACATGAGCACTTTCCGAAGGGAATGGGTCGATGTTGCCTCTCGGGGTCCCTTTGGGAAGCCTCTTGGGGGCCTCGTGGGACGTCTCGAAAGCTTCTAGAGCCGTCTCGGGGCCATCATAGGCGTCTTGGCGCGATCTTTCGGCGATTCGTGGCCCTCCAGGCGAATCTTGGGAGCCGCTTGGGGCTTTCTGAGCCATTTGGGGGGCCTTCTAGGCTCGTTGTGGCCGAACTTGGAGACATCTTCGACTCTTGGACCGTCTAGGAGACCCCCCATGGACCATCTTGAACAAACTTGAGAGCCAGATTGGTTGTCTCTGGTGGGGAAACGCTAATTCCGACACGATGCGATCGTGCGTGGGAGATGGGTCTCGCCCCCATATTCCGCCCGCCCAGCCAGCGCGGCCAGTCATGGCCCGTCGCGCGGAGCATTCAGGGGGGCAAGGAGGTCAGCCGCAGGGGGGCGAGCGGCGAAAAGGGCGGGGCCGAGGATGGCGTCAATCTGCTCTCGCGATACGGCTTCGCTTGGAACGGGCGCCCAGTGGCAGCTAAGGGCCGCGGCCATGTCCTCCGGCGCGCGCGCTGCCAGCGGGAGGAGCGGGACGCCCACCGCCGTTCCCCGATTCTGGGCAATCCGGGAGCGCGCGATGCCCCGCGCAAGAAAGCGCCTTGAAGAGGGCGCCCAGGGCTCATAGCGCCGCTGGGGCGCCGGCGGGACAGAGCGTTGCGCGTCCGCCGAGGGCTGGTCAGAGGCGAGGGCTGCGCGTGCAGCCGACTGGCGCATGGCGCGCTCGAGCCACGCCTGGCTGCTGCGAATGGCCCCACTCTGAAACCCTGCAGGGGGAGGCAACTGCGGTGAAGGCCCCAGGGCGTTCGATCGCGCGCGGCCAATCTCGGCGGCGGCAGCCAGCAGGCGCGCGGCGCGGCGATCAGGGGGCCGCGCGGCACAGGCACCCACTCTCGAGCAAGTTACCGTCGTCAGAGCCTTGCGGGAGCTTCTGCGAATCATTGCGGGTGAGCTCGGCCGCCAGAGCCACGATCTCCTTCGCGGCGCAGCTCGGTCGCGGCGTCGTGCTCAGCCTCCGCGAGCATCTTCTCGGGCAGGGTCGCGATGCCTCGAGCGGAGCGCAAACCTCTTCGGCGTCGATGGCGAGCGCCACGGCGGCGCGGTCGCTGAGGCGCGCGCCCGAGAGGGGGGCCGCTTCCCGGGCGACATTGAGCTGGCAGTGCAAGCGCGGGATTAAGGCAAACGGCTGGACGATGAAGGATCGGCCGGCGGCGGTGCCGACCTGGCATCGCTGCGAGAAGTGCGTCGGGATGTCGGCGGCGATCTCGATGGCGTCGCTTCGCGTGATCTGGTGCCGGAAGATCTGGCCCTGCTGGAATCGGCACTCCTGCGTCTGCATTCGGGCGCCAGGCTGCGGGGAGAGGTGGGGGCGCGAGCGGGCGTCTGCGATGTCCAAGGCACCCGCGGCCACGGAGGCGCGCTGGCGCGGGTTCGCCGAGGCCCGCTGCGCGCGGGGCTGCCGCTCCCTATGCGCCGATTCTATCCGGGAATTCCGCGAGTTTGTAGTTGTGGACTTTGAGGGCGCGGGTCTCCGTCTCCGATATCGAAGTGAGGTCGCGGACGAGCGCGGCCCTTCCGAGGGGCGCGACGTCGCCGGCGATGGCGCGCGGACGAGGGAGGGGGGGTCCAGCGGCGCGGCCTCGCTGAAGAAGCTCGCGCCCGGCGCGCGCGAGCCCGTGGGCTTTGCAGCAGTGCCGCCCGCGCCCCTGGAGAGGCAGCCAGAAGGTGGCGACGTGGAGGGGCGCGCGCGGGTAGTTGGCGAGCATGTCCCCCCGTTCCGCGAGCGAGCCGCGGCGCTCCTGGGTCGGGGTGATGGCGCGAGAGCGGGGCGCGATCGCGAAGCGGCGGGACTTGAGTCGGCCGCAGTGGGCATTGCGATAGAGCTGTTCTCATGCGTTCTATGAAACATCGCGCGGCGGCGCGTCTCTCTAGGTGGTCTCCCGCGGGCCCACGGGGGCCCTGTGACTGTTGAATGAACCGCGATGACGGATCCGTCGAGACATGGGCCGACTCGAACTTCTGCCCGATGCAATCATCGTTGATGCCCATCTGTGCGACTGCAGCTGGGCCCCAGTTCTTGGACTGCTCGCGGAGGCCCTGCGGCCGAACCTCCGCCATCGGCATCGCCCCCCGTTGAAGGTGGCCCGACTGGCGCGGCGTCTTGAGCTCCATGCCAGGGTGGGCCCCACCCGCGATGACGGTGAGCCGCTTTGTTTGGAGCTCCCTACTGACCTGCTTCGGCGACGTATCCGCGGGGACGATTAACGGAGTCTCGGCGCCGCGGACATTTGGGGCACTGAACCGTCGCCGCTGCCCACCAAGAAGCTTGAGGGCCCCAGAAAGCACGAGCGCCCAAGGTAGAGCCATCTCAGATCCAACCTGTGCGCGCATGTGAAATCGTCGCGCTGTGGCGTTTACAAATATGTTGACATGTCCGGGCTGGGGCTGGGCATCTTGCATCCACTGAACCATGGCGTGCTGGTCTTCAGCGAACTGCACGTTTCTGGGCGCGCCGATGCTGAAGAAGGTCGGGCTGGGCTCGCGGTCGTAGTCGGCATGGATGGCGAGGTCCATGGCGGGGGGGTGAGCTCCTCTTAGCGAGATGGCAGCTTCGAGCCGTTGTGCAGATTGTCACAGGGCGGCTTGCTCTGTAGTGTGTGCTTCTTGACGACGACGGATGCTGCTGTGGTCGCGTACAACGCTCTCGGGCTGGGCCTGCTGCGGCGCGTAGCAGGCCCCGATGGTGGAGCGGAGGTCGGCCTGGACGTTGGACCAGGTGTGATCGAAGAGGCTGCTGGGCTGCTGGGTGACGAGCGTGAGCTGACTGTCGACAACGCCGTCAGTTGCTGCGGCGAATGTCCGAGGAACGGCTTAGCAAGGTGGCCGTGGTAGACGTGGTGGAAGCTCACGACGTGCTGGTGGTGCTGCATCACGGGGTCGTGGAGGGCGAGGGAAGGCAGGGGCATCTGCGTGCTGCGGACCTCCAGCACCGTGGGCAGTAGGAAGTTCGTTTTCAAGGCACGCCGGGGCCATCTCCAGGCCATGGGCCAGTCGAGCGCGGATCGCATCATCGAGAGAGTCGAAAGTTTGTTGCTCAAAACGAGCTGGTGGAAGAGAACTGAAGTGGCCGCTGTCGACACCAGGAGTTTGTGAAGCGCCGGTGGAACGAGTCAAATCTCGACTTTTGAACCCAGTCCTGCCAGACGCGGGGGCCACAACAGCACCTTCTCCATCTTGCCGTCGTGTCGGGCTGCGCGAGCCAGCCCATGGGCCCCGTCCTTGGATGGGGTTCGCAGCAGTCTGAGCCACCAGCTGGGGCGTCACGTTCACGGATTGCTTCTCGTCGGTCTCGACGTCGGGCTTGGCGTGGCGCGCTGCGGCGAAAAACGTCCACCACGGTGCGAACCTCACAACAAGGAGTTAGAGCTCGAACTTGAAGACGGCATTGCGATTGCTGTACTGCGCACCGCTGGCTGTCTAGGATGGCGTTTCGGCGGTGGGCAAACCTCCCTTTAATAACCTCCCTTAAATGAAAACGGCCTAAAACCGAAACCGACGGACCTGGACCCGCAAAAATGACAGCCGCGACGCCCTCTCGCATACCGAAAACGGCCAAATCGCTAATCGACGTGTCAGGGTAGGAGGTCTATCAACCTCCGAACGTTGTTGAAACAGCCCGGCCCGAGCGCCGCGATGACGTAGAGGAGCAGGTCCAGTGGGTCTTGCACACGAGCGCTGGCAAGAGGAGCCTGGGGCGGACCAGGACCTGGAAGCGACCGTGCCTGGGGTGGACCAGGACTTGAGTGTGAAGGTGCCTGGGGCACACCAGGACTTGAAAATACAAGGGCTTGGTGCGGACTAGGACATGAATACGAATTGCTTGGAAAGGGCTGGGACTTGTTGGAAAAGGACCCTACCACGCTTGGGCAGTGGAAGTTCCGCCTTCTTGGCATTGAGCCCAAATGGCTACGGATGATGATGCTGCTGATGATGAAGATAAGGATGGATGACGATGATGATGATGGAAATAATGGTGATGATGATGGTGATGATGATGCTGCTGATTAAAATGATGGTGATGATGAAATTGACGATGCTGAGGGTGATGTGGATGATGTTAATGATGTTGGTGATGCTGATGATGATAATGATGATGCTGATGCTGCTGTTGCTGATGATGATGATGATGCTTGTGATGATGACGATTATGATGATGATGATGAGGAGGAGGAGGAGGAGGAATAGATGAGGATGAGACGGTGAAGGTAGAGCGGGATGATGGACTAACCATAAGAACGGATGAGGGTGAGGAGGATGAGGGCAATACTTGAGACTAGAGAGACGTCTTTTGGCGCGTGGGCGAGGCAAACACCCAGTATCGCCGCAAGCGCAGCCGGCAGCAGCGCCTGAGATGATGGGCACGCCGATTCCTCTTGCGACTCGAACACCTGAGGAGAGGCCCATCTTGGCGACCAGGCCCAGAGAAGTCCTGGAACCAAGGAGTGATGAGGAATGAGGGGCGAGGACGTGGAGGAGGAAGGAGAAAAAAAGGGGAGAAGGAGGAGGACGAGGAAGGAGAGGGGAGGATGGAGAAGGAAGGTGGATGAGGAGGAGGAGGAGGAAGAGTCCTGGCACCAAGCCTGCTCACCAATCTTCCAGTAAAGCTGCTCGAGAGCATTCGTAGGAGCCGTGCAGTGGACTGGTCGCCAAGTCTTCGGAAGACGTTCCCGAGGAAATCGTGGCCCAACGCACGGAAGACGGCGGCGCAGAACTCGACCCCAAGGCTGCGCAGGAGGCCCGACAAGAAAGACTCGCCCAGCTCCGAGAAGCAGTCTGCTACCTGCTCAGCTCCCATCGCAGCGAAGAGTTCGGAGAGAAAAGAGAAGCCAAAGATGCGGAACATGTCCTGTATGAACGGCTGCCCCAGGGAGGAGAGGAGCTGGCCCACATACGTGCTTCCGAGGTGGCGGAACATCACTCCTGTCCAGCCCGCTCCGTTCCGGCCAAACAGCTGGGAGGTGAACTCGGGCCCTGCCCCCGAGTAAAGGTCGGTGCCGAACTGGACGCCCAAGACTCGGTGCACCTCGGCACTGTACTCCACTCCGCACCTGTAGAAGGTGTCGGCCGTGAAACTAGGGCCGAGCTCGGAATACAGCCCAATGCAGAATGCACTTCCGAGCTTAATGTGAACGTCTGCAACCCATGCGTATCCCAACCGAGAAAACGTGTCCCCGAATGCATCAGCGCCAAGGGCGGCTGCCAGGCTGGCCACGTGCTGGTGGCCAAGTCCGCAGAACAGTGCTGCGACAAAGGTGATGCCGAGGCTGTTGAACAGCCCTGCGCAGAAGGCGGCGCCCAGGACGCTCAGCAGCTTCCCGGAGAAGTCGTGGCCAAGATGCAGGAACAGGCTGCAGGGGAACCTCGAGGGTCTAGCATTACATAAACAGAAACTTTCGGAGACATCCGAACGGACCTCCAACTGTTTTTTTGTTAATGCCATGTCTTTGCTCCTCTAGTAAGAGGCCTCTCAGGTGGGGTCGGCGCATCGCGCCGCAACGCCGATACAATTCTCTGCTCCTCTAGAACCCATCGTCCAGCCGGCGGAGCAGGCCGGCCACCCAGCCGGCCCGCAAGCCGCGGAAGAGGTCCGCCACGAAGGCCACTCCGAGCTGCCGGAGGAGCTCCGCGCAGCGGGCCGCGCCCAGGTCCTCGAAGGCCCTCGCGACGACGCCGTGGCCCAGCGACCGCAGCAGGTCGGCGCAGGGCTTGGGGCCCAGCCCCTCCACAGCCGCCCTCGCCAGCGCCACGGAGCCGCTCGCCCGCGAGGCCGCCGCCCGCGCGGGAGGCATTGTGGGATCGGTGCAGTCTGGCAGGGCTCGACCAAAACAATGCTTCCAGTTCTCGTGCTGTTGTCGCCTTCCCTCGCTCTGTCTTGCGCCTTGCTCCAAAATGGGATCAAAGCGAAAACGGTCCACGAAGTTGCCAGAACACCGGTTCGGTCGAGCCCTGGTCTGGTGCGCCGTCGCGGGGAGCGCCGTAGCAGCATCCCATGGCGTGGGTGCCCCGCGGGCGGGGGGCCGCCCAGCGGAGAAGCCCGGCGGGCGGAGTTGCTGCGCCAGCGGAGGACGGCAACCGAAAGGGCTGCGGGTGCTGAGAACGGCGATGGCAACGGCGACCAACGATGACCGTGACGACAGCAGGTACGACGTTTTGGCCACAACGATCATTGACTGGACGATGTCGACCGGCGGGAAGTGAAGCGTGATCGAAGTCGTGAAGATTGCGGAGGAGAACGCAGGGACAGGAGAGACCTCCTCGCTGCGCCGCAAAACGTGTCTGTAGGGCGGGTGGGGCGCCTCACCGGGTGTTGCCTCACGTTCTTTGGTCCTGAAACTTCAGAGTTTTCAACAGCTCCACGTATGGAGGGCGGCTGCTATTGAACATGCGACTGTCGCCTTCGCGCCGCGCGCATCCGCCTTGAAGTAGTCCAGCGGTTACATGGATGGAGGGCGAATGACGCTTAAACTGTGGCTGTCACTCTCGCACCGCACGCGTTCGTTTGTTGAACTACGATGTTGGCCAGCGTAGACCCTAAACAGTGAGGCATTGCACTGTGGATGTGGCGCAATCTATGTGGTAAAAGCTAGGCGATGCAATGCTGGTGGCGCGAGATACGTGAAATGATGTTTGGTGCGAGCTAAGTGGGGCAGTGATGGTGGTGCAAGCTGTGTGGTGCAAACTCTGTGGTGGCCGCCACGTGGTGCAACCTCAGTGGTGCAGGCAATGAGTTGCAAGCTGTTTGGGCGGCGACGAGGCGTCCGCGGCGGCGACAGGGTAAAAACCCGGAAAGCTCGGCCAGCGCAAGAGGCGCCCACGGGTGGCGACCGAGCGAACACCCAGACGCCGATGCCAACGCACGAGGCACCCACGGAGCGCCCACGGGCGGCGACCCGGCGAGAACACTGGGCGCGAACGTCAGCGCGCGAGGCGCACGAGGGCGGCGACGGAGCGAAAAACCGGAAGCCCACGCCGCCGCAGGGAGCGCGCCCACGGGGCGTCCACGGGCGGCGACTGGGCGAAAGTCGGGAAGCCCAGGCCAACGCGCGAGGCGCCCACGCGGCACCCACTGGCGGCGAAAGGTGCAAAGCTGCAAGCCCCTGCCAAGTGCGGAAGGAAAAAAAGGTGAAAACGAAACGTAGAAGAGAAACATCCAAGAACCTCTTTGCGCAAGCACTGCTTGTGGAATCGTTGTGCGGATGGAGGGCGGGGGGTTTTCAGAGTGCGGCACACACCTCGGCTCAGCGCGCATTCGACACAAACGCTCATTTTCGCTGATAGGTGCGAGCTGGCTCGGAAGATGAGGCTCTCGCGCTAGCGCCAAGCATCTTCGTCTTGAGCGCCCCCCACAAGTTGTAGGATGGCGGGAGGCTCGTCTTACAAAGGTGGCCCTTACCAGAAACCGCCTCACCATTTGAGGCCTGCCATCCTAAGATGTGCAACAATTGCACGGACGAGCGACATTTCTGTGTTTTCAAATGGGGCAGTCGCTTGAGACTTCTTCAATATTGTTGGCC